TCGGAAAAACGTGCATTTCAGATAAAATTTCTGGAGACGGCGTGTGGGGTACCGTTCGATCTGGTTGCCCTGGACGAGGCTCTCGAAAAACACCGGCCGGCGGTCGTGTTTGTGACGCACGCGGAATCGTCGACGGGCATGAAACAACCTCTGGAGGGCGTCGGCGAGTTGGTTCGCAAGTAAGTAGAATGTATCGAATCAGAAACTTTCACTTCGCTAGTAAATAATTAACAATAAAGATATTTTATTCGACCTGACTGGCCATCTTTATTGATTATAATATCGTCACGACGTTTTCGACCATTGGTCTTAGTCCTCCTCAATCGATGTAACTTTTGAAATGCAATATATAAGCATGTCTTTTTAAATTACTGTGAAAGAATGTTGCGAAAAATATTCCCAGTCAAAAAAAGGATGCTTATATATCTATGTATATGTAAGAACTTCCGTTTTGGAATATTCCACAGAATCTGTCAGTAACAGGCAATTCGGTCATTTTAGGACACCCTGTATATCAGCATCAAAAGTTATATCTATTCAGAAGAACCAAAACTCAAGAGAAAAAACCAATAAATGGTCAAAACGTCGTGACGATTATAATTAATAAAGATGGCCAGTTAGAGCGAATAGAAAATCTTCATCGTTAAGCAGATTGTACTCACGATGACGAGACAGGAGCGAACTGAAATTACTCTCTTCGATGTTCGTTGACCGGCAGATACGGAGCCCTGTTGATCGTCGACGCGGTGGTGTCCTTAGGCGGAGATCCGTTCTTCATGGACGCCTGGCAAGTGGACGCGGCCTACGCCGGCAGCCAGAAGGTCCTCGGCGCGCCTGCAGGAATAACGCCCGTCTCCTTTGGTCCGCGCGCAGAGTACGTATGCCATCGATCGAGACCGACCACCACCGCATGGAGAACGGGTTTCTCTGCGGTAACGACGACTAATTCCGTCGTGAGATACCCGCGGGATTGAGAATGCGTTGAATATCAATCGAAATTCGTGAGTCATCCTTTCGTGGTCACCTATTCGGTTCCTACAATCGGTGAATCATATATATATACATATTCGTCGGAGGGGGATGAATTCTCGACATTTCTTTCCAATCTGTCCGGAAATATATATTCCAGCATCCTCTTTTGTGATCCCGCGCGCCGGTTGCAGGCGCAAGATATCTCGCAGAACGACCCGACCCGCTTACTACTGGGACGTGAGGATCCTCGGCGATTATTGGAATTGCTTCGGCGCGCCGCGGCGGGTCTATCATCACACAATAAGCGCTACGCTGGTGTACGGCCTGAGGACGGCTTTGATGCAACTCGCGGAGGAAGGGCTTCCCGCTTCCTGGGCGAGGCACGCGGCGACAGCCGCCAGATTTAGGGAGGGCCTCCGAGATCTCGGGCTACAATGCTACGTCGAGGATCCCCGGTACCAATTGTCAACCGTTATCCCGATAAAACTGCCACCCGGCATCGATAGTGATATCTTGATTGCGCGAGCTATGGAAAAGTGAGATTATTTCTCTATCGTCTTTAATTTTTTGTATCGTCGCGAATTCTCGGGTTGCAACCTTTTCCTTTTTTTTTCCAGATACAAAATTGAGATCAGCAGGGGTCTAGGACCAACAGTTGGTAAAATTTTACGTGTCGGCCTGATGGGAGTCAATGCGCAGACTTCGACTGTCGATCGTGTACTTTCCGCCCTCCAGGATGGATTACAACATGCATTAAAAGCAAAAGTATAAGATCACTAACGCGAACTTGTCATTGATAACTTGTCCATGTTGAAACTGAATGTGAGTAAAGTCGTACCATGTAGTTTTGGGGATTGTAAGGCTGTCTTATTACTTATTTAATAGCAACAGCAACAGTGATAATAATAATAATAATTGGTATTTAATTAATAAATCGTTTTGGCACAATACAGAATAGCGTCGATCTCCATTCTCTACAAAACTATCGAAGTGTGCGTCATGCGTCTCTCAGCAGCCTACCTAGTCGCAGAAATACAAAAGATTTATTTAATTAAAATTATCGCGTTGTATAAAAAAAAAATAGTAGTTCCGGTCGCCGCCCGCAATGGGTGGCACGAGAAAAGTGAATCGTTTATATCTTAGGGAGCGTACACGGACGTTGTACTCCGAACGCGTCTGTGGCCGCGGGAGCAAAATATACAAATTCGTTTTCTCCGTAGAGCGATAATTTCCGCGTTACGCATATCGCATCGCCGCACCGTGACGTCACATCTTGAATTAACCGCGCTCTGTATTTCAACGCAACAATTGGCACAGTTTCGCGCAAAACAAATCCCGGTGCGATCCGAGAACGCTCCTCGCCTCCTTTTCTTTCTCCGAAAGCTTCACGCCGAGAGCAACGGCAACCCTCCCACTACCTTCTACTACCTCCCCCCCCCTCACCCCTTTCGACAGCTGAGTCTCGTCAACCAAGTTTAATAAAAAATAAAGACCGAGCTTCTTACATATTTCTGTCACCCAGCGTAGACGTAAGCGTTACAGAGACCGCGCCGAATAGCCGCGTTTAAATTAAAACAGGCGTGTATACATGAAGCATGTCGGTATAAAGAGCATGCCGCTTACCCAATAATTAATGTTAACTCGTTTAATATCAAGACCGATAGCTCGCGCATGGAGGATAACTTTTAAATAATCGTGACAATAGCAATATAGTCCATGATGAACATATAGAACAGGCGGAGAGAGGGGGAGGGGAGATTCAGGGTAGCGCTGAAAAGTACGTAAGTATAAATAATAATTAATAATAATTACCGGTGTA